GCTGGAATCACAAACATCAATCTACAGTAAAGCATGAGCTGCTCACCCTGAATTAATGTAGTGGTTTGAGTACTCTTGCCTGGAGAATCCCATGGATGGAGGAGCCCGGTGGACTACAGTCCATGGGGTCGCAAAGAGTCAGACACAACCGAGCAACTTCACTTTCTTTTCGCTTTAAGTACACAGACCCTGAAGTCAGACACACCCAGTTGGAACCTTGCTCCCCCCTCACCACTGTGTCATTGGGTGAGCCTCCTGGGCCTCATTTTTATCATCAGAAAAATGAGAATAATAATAAGACCCATCTTACAGGGACTCAGAACAGTGTCTGGCTCAGAGTAAATGCTGTTTGTGTGCCTGATATTATTACTGGTATCATGAATTTGTGCCCAGTCAAGGAAAAAACATCTGGCCCGCACCATTATGAAGCAAAGTCAAGTTTGGGGCACTTGAGATGACTTTACCATGGGTCAGGGAGGTGAGGACCAACTGCTTCCATGTTGCAACATCATCTCCTTGGATTTGGCAGTACCATGGCTTGGGAGCTTACCCCAAATGAGAGTTCCCTGGGGCAACTGTTGGGGAGCAAGGTTAAATGAAACACAACCAATGTGAACAGGGCAATTCATCCATATTCCTTAGCATACATGGGCTCTTCCCTCCTGCATGGAACTATGGTTAGATCTCTTACAAAACAAACAAAACTATCCTCTCTTGATACGATCACTCAGGAAAAATCTATCATTTTGCCGTGGCCAAATTCCACAGATGTGAGGTCTGAAGACTCTGCGCAATGTTTCCACTGCCCATTAATCAGCCTCTTTTGACCCCATGAGATCTGGCTTTCCTATGGGAGTGCCACTCTCAAAGCTCACCTCCTTCTCATCTGTTTTTGTCTGAATCTCCATTCTTTTTGGCACAGACAGCTTTGGCCACACATCTCTTCTTGAACTATCTCCTCCCTTGGCTTCTTTGATTTTCTTCTTTCTATTTTCCACCAGTTCCTCTCTCCCACAGCCACCCCCAGAATGTAGGTGCTCCCCAAGACCTCAGTTTAGCTTCTTCCTGCAGTGACTGCATTTGCTTTCACAAGCTGAACCATCTTCTCTAAACTCCTGTCACCTTCCTTTAACCCTGACCACATCTGCATTCAAAGTGCACATTTCTGCTGATTAAAGGATGTCCCCACTTGGGCATCCTGCAATAACTGTAGATGCAGTAATACCCCAAGTTCACTTAACAATATTTTGGATTTTGAAAATCCTCCAGAAAATAGAAACATTTTTGCATGGCACTCAGAGGCATGGAGTGGACCTTCCTTGAGTCCAATTCCTCCTGCCTCGCAGGATTATAAGCCAACCTTCTCTTTTCCTTCTTCATCACCAAGTCTTAACTTTTTTCCTTTCAAATGTCTCTCATGTTGTCCTTGCTTTTACAATTCCAACCAATGGAAATGGCATAAACAGGCATTGGATGGATGGTTCAGCTTTCTATCCAATGCTTGTTTATTGGGCACTCTCTCCCAAGAAAGCTGTTAGCTGAGGAGGCTTCATCAAGGACAAACCCAGCCCAAGTGACCTGGGAGCTCAGGGTGAGGAAGAGGAGGCAGCCACAAGAGGGCATGATGCTGTGAGAGGATGTGCTGGCAGGCAGTGAGACCAGGAGGAGGACGTGCAACCCAGCCCAAGGGACCTCTGCACTCAGGGGATCCAGATGCTGAGTGCTGTGGATGGGGAAGGGTAAACTCGCGATAGCAGTGGGCCTTCCTGGCAGAGGCTGTCAAACAACAGAGTCAAGGGGATGGGGAGCCCGGGCCCAAGTCTGCTGTGATCCAACTGGTTCATAAGATTGAAGTGTAAGTTCAGGTGTGAACTGGTGGGAGGGGAGGCTGGAGAGGACACCCAGGGGCCAGATCAAGAAGAATGTTGCAAAAAAAAAAAAAAGAAGGACGTTGCAGAATAGAAGTTGCAAGAATGGATGTTGTCCATTCTGAGGCAGTGGTGGTGGTGGTTTAGTTACTAAGTCATGTCTGACTCTTGTGATTCCATGTACTGTAGCCCACCAGGCTCCTCTGTCCATGGGGATTCTTTAGGCAAGAATACTGGAGTGGGTTGTCATTCCCTTCTCCAGGGGATCTCCCCAGGGCTGCTAAGGGTTTTGAGTACTGCCACTGCATTAAACCCAAATTCCTCCACCAAGCTTATCTAGTCTTTAAATTCCCAATAATAGCACTTAACCCACAAGTAAGTGAGGTGCTTCATGGTCCCCACATATGGCTGAATTTCAATTAGGAATCATTTACCGAGTGCTGCCTGCTATGTGCCAGACACTAAGAGGACTGCTAGATGAGTAAGACACAGCCTCAGCTGGTGGGGCAAAAACCCTCAAGCCAACTGGGTCCATGGGCTTCAGTAGATGCTCGGTCATGGGGCAGTTGAGGGGAAGGAGGAACCCTCCGACTCTGCCTGAAGACCAGGGGAGCGGCCAGCCAGGGAAGTCTTCCTTAGGAAAGGTGCTATTAGAGATGCTTCCTAAAAACCAGAGGATTCTGGGGACTTCCCTGATGGGAAATGCTTGTGTGTGTGTGTGTGTGTGTGTGTGTGTGTGTACATGAAAAGAATATACTAATGGAGAAGAGGGACTAGCCTGGTGGTTCAGTGCTTAAGACTCTGAGCATCCGATGCAAAGGATGCGAGTTCGATCCCTGGTTGGGGAAACAAGATCCCACATGCCATGCTGTGGCCAAAGAAAAGAACCAAAAATACGCACCCACCCCCTCAAAAAAAACCCCCCCAAAACCAGAGGATTCCCCAACAGAGAGAATCGTGGGCACAGGACAGCAAGTGCAGAGAGAGAGGCATACAGAAGAGGCCTGGTCAGAATGGCATGAGAAGGCAGTGTGGCCGAGGGCACTCGGCAGTGGCAGGAGACGGAGCGGAGAAGGAAGGCAGAGAATGTGGACTGCAAGGGGGAGGGGAGAGAGAGTGCCTTTGCTTATTCTGAGCTTCAGGGGCTTTTCCCCCTTTGCCTTGCCTGGTGCCTGACTGTTGTTTCTAAACGCAGCTGAAGACTAAGTAGCTCCCGGAGCCTCTCTGACTTTTCCAGACCACACGGGCTATCCTCTGTGAACCAGCAGACCAGGCCATACAATTTCACTCTAGTGCTCTCTGTTACACAGGTGCTGGTTTCTCCCCTCCCCTGAACCTGGAAGCTTCTAAAGGGCAGGAACATTCCCTCAGCCAACCTGAGATGGTCCCATAGAGCTGGGCACACTGTGGGTCATAGCCCTCAGATCGGGGAAGGCACTGCAAAAATAGAATGGGAATTCCCAAAGCCTGAGACCTGGCTGAAGATTACCATCTGCTTTCTGCATTCTTTACCACAAATCAAAAAGGGAAACAAACATAGTGGATTCGGTCATTTCACATTCCAGTGTTTTCTTGCTCTCCAAGTCTGTGAGCAGGAATAGACAAACAGGCCTATTTTGATTTCAGCACTCAGCAACCCAAACTTCCGGGGACAGGGAAATAAACAAAGAAAGCTCTGGGATACAACTTCCTCAGAAGCCTTGCCTCCTTAAAAACAAACCCCCAAAGCTGGCAGGGATGGCTCTGCATTCAAACCACAGACTAAAAGATTCTCAATCTACTCAGAGCTCTAATACCAGAGGGAATGGATGATTCTGTGGTCATTTAGAACAGGAGCACCAGAAGGCTGATATGCAGGGGTGTGGTCAGAGGGATTCTTAAAATACACTCAGTAACTAGCGTTGGCCTGGTTCCCTCCTCTGGGAACCCTCTGGAATGTCCCCACAATCCCACAACTCGAGGATCAGCATTGAGCACCACAGACCTTCTCCCAGGTTCCTCTTCCAAGGTTTTCTTTCTGATGGGCTGTGCCTGGCACAACGGGAAGCTGCTGGCCACTGCCTTCTGTCCATAAGAACAAGGGTGAAGTGAGTCTGAGAGTCCAGGAGTCCTTGGACAGATCGGTCAATACTCAGCCTGGCTGAGTAAATGCAGGGAGAAGTGATCGAATGACACACACTTGGCCAGGGCCTGGCTGCTCCCCGGGGCAGCTCTCCAACATCAGTGTGTGGTCACTATCAACCTCTTCCAGGCAATCAGCAAGAGGACAGCATCCCAGACGCACCTGACGACACCATGTGCGCTGGGTCATTGCTCAGCAAGAACACCTATCTGAAGGACACTGGGATTACCTGCTTGCTTGTGGGTACAGGTGCTGGACAGGTGTTCAAAACACCAGGTGACTACATAGCTAGCCCACTGCAAGGGAAAGCCCCTGCCATCAATTCCCACCCAACACAGCCTCAGCGGACTTCCTGGGACAACACCCCTCAACCCATGACAATCCACTAACCCTGTCCTCACCCCTTAAAAAAATATCATTCCATCTGTAGTTTCCCAGGAGTGCTGCCACTATGCTCTTATCTTCACAAGTGGATTTTTCATTTTAAACTATTTATCTCAGAGCCTTTGCCAGGCTGCTCTACCTGGTGTTATGGGGGTGGAGATGTGGGGGTTCAAGGCCTTTTGTTGAGCAGCTCAGTAACTTGTTGGGATTACCGGTGGTCCTGCTGAAGGTGGCTGTTTCCCTTTTCCAAGGAAGATAGTGAAGCCACCTGCCCTTCTCAGGGTGGGGGCGAAAGTGAAAAGGAGAAAGTCTGATAGCACTGTTCCAAGGTGGAGGTGCAAGTGACTTCCTCACAGCCAAAGTTTCCAGAGTCCCGCTGGCGAGGTATCCACGTGCTCCCCCTTTCTCCCTTCCCCCAGGGATGCCCCTCGAGAAGCCAAGAGCGAGGTCCAGGGAATCGGTCCAGGGAATGGGCCCCCCGGGGCGCAGGAGGAGAGCTGTAAACAACCCAGAACACCTCTGCCAGGGGAAGAGGCACCCGGTGGTCACAGGTGGCTGGCTCCCCTCCCCGTCCCTGCAGGGGGCCAGCAGCCCTGGCCTGCCCTACTCTGCGGCAGAGCTCTCACCTCCGGGGAAGTCTGTCCGCGCCCCGCGCACCTTCTCTCGCTCCTCGCAGTCGCAGAAGCTGAGCCCCACGCGGAGGCCCGGAAGACCTCGCCGGCCCCGCCCCCGGACAGGCCCCGCCCCTAGACCGGCTTAGGCCCCGCCCCCGGCCCGGACCCCGCCCCCTCAGCCCAGGTAACCTCTGTTCTCTTTGGCGAGCGGCCCTCCTGCTCCAATCTTGAGGCTCCTCGGACGAGCGCCGCAGACCCTGCGGCTGCGGGGACAGGCGAAAGTGTCCGTTTGACGAGGAAGAATATAGCCGACCCAAGGACCTGGGGGGTCGGGAGGGAGGGACGCGGGTGCTGGGTGCATGGGGCGCCCTGGATCCCGGGAGAGGGCCGCCTATAAGGGCTGCGGGCGTCCAGCGCTGGAAGACCCGCGGAGCTGCCACCTCTGTAGACTCCCAGAATGTCCCTCGAGATCCTCCAGGGCAGCTTTCGCTTCCCTTTCCCTTCCCATCCACACAGGGGAGGAGCCCAGTCCCGAGGAACTGGAGAAGTGGTTCGAAGGCACAGTCAGAAGCTGGCAAGACCATGCCCTCTGACTCCGGGTCAGTGCTCTTTCTATGGAGCCAAACCTCGGGCTAAAAGCGGAACATTTTGACACATTTCAGCCAGCAAGTGCCAGCTGGGAGCTGGCGTGATTGGAGGAAGGAAACCCGGGGTTGTCTGAAGAACCCAGAAGAAGACAGACCCTTTCTGTCCTATGAGAGCAGTAGTGATCCTTCTCTCTTCTTTGCCCCCACCTCCTCTAGGGCTAGAGTTTGCAGGAAAAGGGACCTGTCAGAAATAAGAACCGGCTCCCCAGATGCCCATGCAACCAAAGGGTTAAGGAGAGGTGCCGATCAGAAAGTGGTGGGGTGGCTTTCTGGGAGGAAACCCAGTTCGGGGGACAGACATGGCCCTGTCGTGAGCAGGACTGGGGTGGGGGGAGCGTGAGGGTGGGTGCACAAACTGCGCGGGTTGTAAGTCTCAAACCCCCACTAACGAGGGGAGTTCGGGTGTAATCAAAACAGCTGACTCCCACTCACTGGGGAACTGGGTGATAGGATCAGCAAGGTGTGAAAGATCCGTGTAAAACCCTGGCACTAAATTACAGCGCAAGCATCTCTTCATAGAATCTTCCAGGCTCCAGCCCTTGACTGGCAGCCTGAAGTGTGACTGACAGGTTGTCTCAAGTAGGTCTGAAGGGCCGCTGTGCAGAGCGATGGAGCCGCCTTCCTGCTCAACCCTAACCCCCAGTGGAGGGGCTGCGGAGAGGGAGGCGCGCTCACACTCAGGCTGCCAGGAATGGGTGGGGGGTGCGGTCTGCAAGAGCATCCAGTGAGGGCTGAGAGCTGGGAGCCCCAGCGGCCAACCCTGATCGGAAACAGCCTTGCTCCTGGTGGGGGTCAGTCTTCCTTTTTGTTTGTTCATGGAACCGAAAGCACGTGGAAGAGCTTGGTTCACAGCACATTTACCCTGCTTTGTGCTGGTGGAACTGCAAGGCCAGTGGAGGGCCTCGCAAATGCTGGGGATAGGTAGGGGAGGAGGGAGAATGTTCCAGGCTGTGAGATCTCTCCAGGGACAATGAAGCCCTCTTCCCCAGCCTGGCACCCGGCTTGGATACTGTTTCCATCCACCTGGCTTCAGGGGACTCATGTCAGGCCCGAAAGGACCCTTAGGTCCTGTCTACCTGACCGTGTCTTTCGACAGATGGAGTCATTTGAGGGAGATGACAGCTTTCACCTGAATGGCCAGGGTAGCTTTGGGTCTTCTCACATGTGTCCTTTGAAGGCCATCTCTCCCCAGTCTGGCAGGAGAGGGGAAGGTGATCAAAGTCTTTGCTGATTTAATCAGGACTGAGGGCTCTTACCTGCTTTTTTTTGTCCGTTAAAATCCAGAGTGGTACACAGGGTGCTCGCAGGCACCGCCCTCTTAGAGGTTCTTGTCACTCCCCTGATTAACTTTAGTTAGTTCCCTATTCACTGAGATTAGTATCCAGTTTGCAGACCAAGGCCCTGGCAGCTTCTGCAGGCTCACTTCCCTAACCCTCAGCTCCCAGACTCCAGCTTCACCAATTGCCTTTCCCTTGCTTAGGCTCCTTACGCACACTGTTCTTTCTGCCTGTGAGGCCCCTTCCCCACGATTTTGCACAGCTCACTCCTGTCCATCCTTTGGTCTCCCCTCAAATGGCACCTCTTCAAGGAGACGTTCCCATCCCCTCTATTTAAAGGATGTTCCTCCTGTAATTCTTTCTCCTCATATCCTGTTCTTTTTCTTCACAACTCTCCCCTCAATTTGTAATTTTATATACCCATTGTGTTTATTGTGTTACGGGTTCATTCTCCCCTTAATACTTTAAAAAAAATTTATTGACGTTTTACTGATTTACAATGTTGTGTTAATTACTGTGGTACAGCAAAGTGACCCACTTTCATACATATATATGTGTACATATATATACACAAATATATGGGCTTCCCTGGTAGCTCAGCTGGTAAAGAACCACCTACAATGCAGGAGACCCCAGTTTGATTCCTGGGTCTGGGAAGATCCCCTGGAGAAGGGGTAGGTTACCCACCCAGTATTCTTGGGCTTCCCTGGTGATTCAGAGGGTAAAGAGTCTGCCTACAATGTGGGAGACCTAGGTTGAATCCCTGGGTTGGGAAGATGTCCTGGAGGAGGGCATGGCAACCCACTCCAGTATTCTTGCTTGGAGAATCCCCAAGGACAGAGGAGCCTGGCAGGCTCTAGTCCACGGGGTCGCAAAGAGCTGGGGACAACTGAGTGACTAAGCACAGCACAGCACAGCACATATATGTGTGTGTGTGTGTGTGTGTGTGTGTGTGTGTGTGTGTGTATCCTTTTTATATATATTCTTTTCTATTATAATTTGTCACAAGATAGTGAATATAGTTTTCCATGCTATCCCTTTAGTACTTAATAGACTTAATAATTTGTGAACCTTATAAGAAGAGGCTTGTCTGATATGTACACTTCAAATCCAGTATTTGACAAATGTCTCCAGATAAACATTTATTGGTAGTTAATGGATGAATGAATGATATTGTCATTGTTCATTTTAAAGGACAAAATTAGAACTCAATAAACTTGTAAACGTAAGCATTAGTGACTATTTCTATTAAAAAGGTAACAACCAATACAAGAGTCAGGGAAATACAAATTCCAGGGTTTATTAGGTACTTCTTAAACTAACCATCCATTCAGCAACCATATATTAAGCTTCTACTATAGACCCTGTGCTTCTGACCAGGAATACAAATCTGAATAAGATCTGGCTTTCAGCATCAAGGAACTCACAGCCCAGTGGGTAGGGTGGACGTGTAAACAAATGGTTATAGTATAATTTGATAAATGCTACAGTAACATGTGTACCTAACTCTGCCTAAAATGCCTGCATACAGGACCTGATGTCATTGCTGAAACTAAAAGATAACGACAATTTTGGCAGCCAGACAGAGTGGGGAGAGGACATTCCAGGCTGGGGGAACAGCCTGCAGAAGAACAGAGGGGAGAAGGAAGGTGGCTTCTCTGGGGAACTGTTACTGGATGGTGTAACTGGAGCGAGGGGCTGGGGGCCAGATCACAGGAGTCCATCACGTAGGCTCTGCTAAGGAGTTTGATTTTGCCTGGCCACCTGTGGAGACTGGGGATCCACTGGGTGGTGTTAAGTAATGGAGTGACACCATACCTTCCTATTTGTCTGTTAGACTTGTAACCCTAACATCAATGTGTAGAATGGATAGGGTAAGGGATGGGGGAGTGTCTCTCAGAAATAACCCCAGTGGCTATTGCTATTGTCCAGGCAAAGATAATAAGAGTGTAAATTAGAGCAGTGGCATTCATCCACTTCAGCCAATAAACTTTTTGCCTTTATGAACCAAGCACTATGTTGGTGGTAGGATATGACATTATTAATAATAACCAATGTATATTGGCTGCTAATGCCCTGCTCTGTTCTGAGCACTGTACAGGCACTAACTGATTTTATCCTCACCACAATCAGAACACTTATCATTCCCATTTAGCAAATGGGGAAACTGAGGGAGAAGAGGTCATATAACTTACACTTGCTTACACAGCTAGGATCTGAACTCAGGTAACTGGGCTTTAGAATCCATGCTCTTAACTGTTATCCTATACTGATAAGATGGTGATGTAGAAGCTAGACAAGGTTCCCGGTCTTGTAGAATCAACATTCTGGCCCTGGAGATGTAAAGAAGAGAGATTAGAGCAAGATTTAGATTATGGAATCAGCAAAACATGGTTCCTGTGAAAGAAAGAGATGTCACAAGATCCTAGCTTTGTGATTGGTTGGGTATTCTTTCCTGGAGAATCCCATGGACAGAGGAGCCTGGCAGGCTACAATTCATGAGGTTGCAAGAGTCAGACACGACTTAGCAACTGAACCACCATCACCACCAGGGCTGTGCCAATCACAGAGCTAGGAAATACAGGATTGGAGTGGTAGTGTGTTCTTAGGTGGACTTGGAGGGTTAAGTTCAGTTTGGGGTAAATTAGTGTTGAGCTGTATATGGGATGTGTAGGTAGAACCATCCAGCAGGCAGTTCAAGTCTTATATCCAAAGAATAGAAGAAACTTCTGTATGGAGACAGAGGTGAGAGGCATCAAGATAGAGGTGATAGTTGAAATCATAGGTGGAAAACTGTCTAGAGGACAGGCAAAGTCAAGGTCCAAGAAAGATAATAAGTTCATAAAAGATTGACAAATTTAACTGCATTAAAATAAGACCCCTGTTCATCAAAAGACATTATGAAAAGACTGAAAAAACAGGAAACAAAACTGGAGATGTTTGCAACACGTATAACTGCCAAGGGGCAAACATTCTGATCATATAAAGAAGTCATAAAAACCAGTAAGAAGACAAAAGAAAAATGGATGAAAGATACAGGCAGATACTTCCCTGTGATGTGCTTCATACACTTTTATGTATATATGTATCTTTCACATTAAATAACTATAAAAGAGAGAAAGGAAGAAACAAAGAAAGTGAAAAGAAAAAATAGGAGGAAAGTCAAGAAAGC